AAAAAAGAAAAAAATCCTGCGGTAAAATCCTGGGACTGCCAAGAAAACACCAGGAGCTTCACAATGATAGTATTCTATTGTAGCTTAAAAACCGTTTCCAGGAAACGTAGTACTTGAGTACCGTACCATCCCTTGGAGGTCCGATACCGTACCGCCAAATCCGTCTGGGGGCTATTAACCCTATGCTAGAACGATTAGGGAATTGCGATTGGATAAGGATACTCTAGCTGGGCCTGCCACTAGGGGATTTGGGCACTAAAGGGTCCGAAGAAAAATTAAAAACTTCTTACTTCCTATCGAGCACCGCTAGCCGCCAAAAATCTGGCTTTAGTTTGTCTTGATACGAATTTGACTGTTTCAGACCGCCCAAGAGACAGTATCATCCTCATTATGATTTATTACTAGGACATGCTGAAAAGGGCCTTAGTTCCCGGAGGACAAGGCCGATTAACCTGTGAGCATCGCTAGCGTCGCTGGAATACGGTAGGTGGCTGTGACGAACGGACGTAGAAAGGACACTCCCGGGAAGCTATCTGATTGAGACGAAACTAACCTCACCAGGTGCCTTAGCAACTATACGGGGAGCAGGAGCAGAAGAAGGCCAGAAAGCTAACGAATGGAGAAATAAACAGAGGCCTTGTCCATTCCTCTTGGTCGTTGAGTGTCACTCACATTCACCACTTCATAGGTATACCACGGATTCCGTACCCCTTTTTACTGCGGCCCTATCATCTCTTGCATCATGGGGATAGGGGGGCCGGACTGCCCCTGTTTTTGAAGTGCTTCTAGTGAGTGATAGCGGAGGTATTAATATCGCGGGTTATTGTTTGGTTGCCCATCGGACATGTGGTTAGGCACTATGCGATTGTAGGAAAAGAAATGTGGTTTTGCGATGTACAGTGAGTAAGCCTAGGACAGTAGTTTTATTTGGGGCGGGGTGTGGATGTTTGGTTCTCTGGATACCCGTTGTTATGTCGCGTCGGGTATGACAGATTTGCTTTGTTTCATTCCCACCATATGCAGTCGGGCGTATCATACGGTAGTTTGGTTGAGGCGTCATTCAGGATCATGGGGTATCTGGGGAGTTTCTAGATTGTGGGAGGATCGCGGGGGATCGTGGTTTGTCGGGATGGCGTGTTTATTTGGGGTTCATGGGGTTTCTTTGGTTTCCACAGTTGTTAGAGGTTGGAGATATAACCTTATATCCCTGGGTATGTCAATAGCTAGCATATCCATCGATCGCACAATTCTTCATCCTTCTACGCCCCTTTCTGCTTCGAATGAATTGTGATTTCTCCTTCACTGCTTAATCCTGACCCGTAGGTAGAAGTAAGTAATTTCCTGGCTAGGAGGGTTTCCTGCGTGAGTGATTTTTCATGAATAAGAGCTGAATTAAGTCAAGAAGTGCTATTTTTTTCTACCTTTCTATTTATGGTGGAGGCGTGATACTATTCTCCAATGGATAGCGCGAGGAAGGGTAAAACAGAAGAGGGAGGGGGGTTTATTGGCGGGGAGGGTTGGTGCAACGCACCTATAGCAATCGAGAATTCAATTATACACCATTTGTGCAGTAAATATTAGTGAATATCATCGGGCATCCATCTAAAATGAAGGAAGAGGGTGAAGAAGGGAGAACTCTAGCGAAAAGTTCTCTATTTTCGGGATATAAGGCGGGGCGAAATAGCTGAAAGGTTTTAGTTTAACCACTTGTATTCTAGAACTGAGTACTCATCGGCTGCACGTTTCGCGCACTCCCTTACAGCCTTGTGGGGGCTTGCCAGATGGCAGGTTAGTTTGGGTGATTAGTAGGGGGTAGTGTGGTGGGGTTGAGCAGAAGGGTGTTTCGCAGCAGGTCTTGTGCCGTTCGAACTCTCGTACGTAATGTATAGTAGTTAATCATACTCACTTGGCTGGTCTTTGGATCTTGCATGGATCTGGGTCAGTACTTGCGAGTGCAATGCACCATACCTAACGCTCGTGGATGGTCACGATAGTGCTGGTGGGTATCCTCGCGGGGATGCCAAGATGGAAATAACGGCCAAGAACCAAAAGTCCCGCCGAGAAATGCCAAGCATGCGGTTGTGGGCTCAACCTGACCAGCTGGAAATTTTCCGGACCAACCGCTAAGACTAGATATGAAGATATCCCGAAGACAAGTCTAGGCTAACCTGAGTAAGATCCAATCCGCTCCTGATCATGGCAGTGTTGAAGTGAAGGAAGGTGTGCTAAAATAGCGCTCGGGACAATAGCTGTCATTCTTAGAACAGCCCACGTCTTGGCTTCCCCTCGCTTAGGCCCCCTACCGCTGGACAGTGCTCGTAGTGTCAAAGCGTTTTTTTTTAAAAAGAACTGATATTGCATATCACCCAGATCCAAGCAAAAGGACCAAGATTTGGTGGCGTGCAACAGCAGTCCTTTTAAGAACGCTTCAAATTTCGAGTACTCGTTTGCGTAACAGGATTGTCATTATTGTAGCTGAAAATTCCGGGTATAAGTGTCTGATATTTCGCCATTCCCGATTTATCGCTATCGCTCTAATTGCGAGTATAGTGTAATACCTGCACTTTTTTGTCACTACAAGACCCTTCTTTCTATAGAGATTAGTTACCTTAGCAGTTGCTAGTTAGTGGCCGTGAATTAGTAGACAGCATAGAGCATCTGGCGCTTGGGTAGGGGAGGCAGCTGGAAGATGGAACCTATTTTGGGCGATCGTACCATTGGCGGGTGAGCTGGATATATCTCATATAAAGAGCTCGAGATCAATTCTTGAACATTTCAGCAATCAATTGGGAAAAATGAGGCTCTACACGACATTCCTGTTCTCTTTTCTGTGCTTTTCATACATCTCTCACGCAGCGCCAATCGCGCAAGAAGAGGGCCAGGGACTCTCCACCTCTCCGGGTGATAGGAGACTAGTGACCTTCGCCGATGCAACATCCGCGAGCTTTGGTCTCTCCGAAAGCAGCGTGAGATGGATTTCTAGGGGGAATTCCTCCGACGGGACATACGTGGTGCAGGACCTCTTGACGCAGACCCTAATTCTGTGGGATATGGCCAAGAATGCTAGTAGCGTGTTCGTCGATGCCGCCGAGTTGGGCATAGACTACTATAACTATTCCATCCAGCCCTCCGGAAAGCACGTCCTGTTTAGCACCAACTACACAAAGAAGTACCGTCACTCGTATCTCGCCGATTACTATGTTTGGAGCGTGGAGGGTAAGACCTTGATTCCCCTTGTCGAGAGACAGAATCGAGATGTGCAGTATGCAGTGTGGAGTCCTCATGGTGATGTGATCGCCTATGTCCGGGGGAATGATTTGTTTATTTGGAAGGACGGGGTGAGTGCTAGGGTTACCAATGATGGGGGAGAGAATGTGCTTAATGGGGTGCCCGGTTGGGTCCATGAAGCGGGTTTGTAGTTCTTCCCCCCAAATCATTCTTGCGGGAGGATGGAATTAACGATTTACCATTCTTTTTGTTTTCCTTGGTGGGGAGTTAGAGATCTTCGGGACGATGCACACATTGTGGTTTTCACCGGATGGGGAGTATCTTGCTTTCTTGAAGTTTAATGAGACGGAAGTGCGCTTTACATTCATATTTTCTATTAAACCCAATGGGGTTGATACTAAGCTAGGTGAATATAGGTACCAACATATACCGTGCCATACTACATAGCTGGGCAACAGGTTGCCCCACCTTACCCCGTTGAGCTCCGTATCAAGTATCCTAAAACAGGAGAGAAAAACCCCACGATTACCTTTCATCTTCTTGAGGTTAACAAGCCGTCTGCCCTGAGAAAGATTAACGTTCAGGCTTACACTCCGGATAACTTGATCATTTCCGAGGTTGGCTGGGTGGCAGAGAAGCATGAGAGTATCATCATCTGCGCGCGGAACAGGGTACAAGATATGGAAAAGTTGGTTTTGGTTGATGTTGAGAGCGGTAATGCACGGGTTGTGAAGGAGAGGGATGGTACGGATGGGTGGTTGGAGAATTATCTTGCTATCACTTGTGAGTTTTCCTTACGGGGGTCTCTAGTGTCGGCTAAGGAGCTACTAATACTCTTAGTTAGATGTCCCAGGGCTTTCTACTCCTTCCTATTTGGATATCTCAGATCATTCTGGCTGGCCACACATTTACCTTTACCCAGTATCAGGTGGCGAGCCGGTTGCGTTGACATCTGGCAACTGGGAAGTCACTACGGTCTACTCAATCGATTCTAGGGGCGGTCTAGTCCATTACCAATCCACAGAGCGTGATTCTACCGAACGCCACATCTTTACTGTGAGTCTCGATGGAAAGACTAAAAAGCCTCTCGTAGATATCACTAAGGAAGGATATTACTGCGCCAGCTTCTCCCCCGGAGGAGGGTACCACACCCTGAGCTATAGCGGACCAAACTTGCCATGGCAAGTACTTCGCAGCATAGGCTCCGATATGCCCATCCGGGTGATAGACCACAACGCCCCCCTTGAGGCCAACCCCCCCGCATATTCTCCCCCCAAGATCCCCCGGTCAAAGCCCAAGCACCCGGATGGATATGGGCTCAACGTTTTGGAGCGTCTACCGCCAAATTTCACTAAGGGGAAGAAATATCCGGTACTATTTGATATATATGGTGGCCCGGGCTCGCAACGCACAGAAAAGACCTTTCGCCGGACGGTTGACTTCAGCACATACTTGGGATCGGATCCCGAGTTGGAGTACATCGTTGTCACGGTGGACAATCGTGGAACGGGGTATAAGGGGCGGAAATTCCGTACTATGGTCGTCGGTCAGCTGGGAAAGTTGGAGGCGGAAGATCAAGCTTGGGCCGCGAAGGAGTACGGAAAACGAGACTATGTTGATGCCGGGAAGATTTCTATTTGGGGGTGGAGCTACGGCGGATACCTCACTGGTAAAGTTCTCGAATTGGATTCCGGAGCGTTCTCTTCAGGCATTGTATGTCCCTCCATCACTTCTCCTACCCCCACTCCGGGCCTGCCGCTAAAACAGAATAGATGACCGCCCCATCGAGTGACTGGCGCTTCTATGATAGCATCTACACCGAACGCTACATGAAATCCCTAACCGCCAACAGGGCAGGCTACAATGCCTCCGCCATAGCAAAGACATCGGGATTCAAGAACGTTGCGGGAGGCTTCCTCATCCAGCATGGGACCGCTGACGACAATGTGCATTTCCAGAACCCGGCCGTTCTTGTCGACACGCTGGTTTCCGCGGGCGTGGGTCCCGAGAAGATGCGAGTGCAATGGTTCACTGACTCGGATCATAACATTAATTATAATGGGGCCTCGAGCTTTTTATACAAGCAGTTGGCCAAAGCGCTTTATGATGAGAAGAGGAGGACACCTGAGGGTAAGCATCAGTGGAGTCGCAGGAAGGTTTAGGGGGCATCAACTTCATAGACCCCTGTTTTTTTAAAAAAAGAGAGCCGAATTAGGGTGAGGCATAGCTAGCATCTCTTGTCTAGTAATTTTAAGTAGTGCGGGCCTATCGGAAGGCGAATTGGCCTAATAGAAGACGAGAGTAGCCCGACTTGTAATAGAGGCTTTGTTATTGAGGAGCGAGAACATTTTAGCTGCAAGCGTCGAGGCGTCATTCAAGCGGGCGAAAGTGATAAAAGAGCATTAAAGAACACCCACAGAAAGCCATCCAATTGAGATAAGATAAAAAAATACAAATGTCAAGTATCTTGCCCGCGTAGAGAGCACAAACAGAAGAGGGAAAATAATCATCAAACAGAGAAAAGTCAAAGCCCTAGTCCACTCCTCCAAATCACCTAGTATCGGTCACACCAGCCACTTTATATACATAGCACCGATTCCGCGCCTTCTCGGTAAGAAAATTCTACGGTACAAAGTACCAGTAATCTACCTGATACTGACTTAGAGTATGATACATCCCCACAAGAAGTACATCCCTGTCCACAATGTTCCTCGCCGAAAGGGAGGTGCTGGAGAAGAGTCTTGGCGGAAACGGAAATACCGTCCCACCCCACTATCCAGGGTGGCGAAAATTTTGTGGATTTCATCCGGGACAACAAGGTATTCGGAACGACAGGGAGAGGGGTTCATGGTATCTGAAGAGGGATAAATATGAATTGGGATAATTGAGTATCACAAGAAACTTTATCTTGATCATTATACATGGGCAGTATCACCACAATCGGCGGCCAAGCTTGCAGCTACCACGTAGATTATCACGTAGCACGCTCTTTCGCTGACCTACTCGAGTACGTCACTCCAATTACTATGATTTGAGTATCGGTAGTAGGGATAAAGCATTCTACTCGAGTACTCTGCCTCCAAGCCCCGGTTCAACTATGAGCCTGCAATGCCTCTCCTGTTTTGCTTTCCTACTTTATATTTGGCCCGTTCTTTTTTCCTCTTTTGGTCTAGATTTTCTAACTGTGATCATAGCATCCCGTTTAGCAGGTTGATTTTCTATAGAAGCAGGGGGTAGGATTTCCCAAAATCTCATACGAATCCGAAAGCACCCTTTTCCGGTTCAACGGGGCTATTTCTGTGAGGAACCGGAGGAGCAAAACATTCCATCAGTTCAACGGGATCCGTGATAGCAGGGTGCAGCTGGACCATTCGCCTTTTCGAAATTTTGCAATCGCCGGCCGCCCTGAAACGAACGAGTGATAGTCTGTGAAACACTGAAACGCCAAGCGCTTACTCACAACACAAAAGCGGGGAACTTGAAAACTCTTCACCTCTCCAAACACACTCCCATTCACACACCACTCACACTCACTCTATCGCACGCTCTACTAACTAACTAACGGTAGGGATAGGAGTATATATCAACCACGAGCGACAAACGATAAACCACGAACAGCAAACCGCAAACTAGGTCCTCCGGTCCCCAGGTAGGTTCTACTCACTAGCAGGCAAACACAAACTAACAAAAAAAGGAAAGACAAACTTCATCACCCATAGCTTCCGGATATCGCTCTCCGGTCTTCCATATTCTTCCGCGCCTTTCCGTCCTCCTCACGACCTTTCTGCCCTCCCTGCGGCCTTCCCCCATTCCTTCCCTGAGACTCCCGTACTAACAAAAGAACAGACATACATCCACGCCGATAGCCTCCACGCTTCCGGTAAGTCTCTCTCTCTTCCTTTCCCTCTCACAATCAAACTACTAACAAAAGAAAGACAAACTCCCGGGCTTCTCTCAAGTCTTCCTTCGTTCCTTCCGCCGACGCTTTCCTCCCGCACCTTCCTCCCGCACCTTCCTTCCGATCCTCTGCATGCTCCCATCGCCGAAGCGCTTTCCCAGAAAGCCAGAGTGCGCTCCCAAAAAAAAACTAACAGAAAGGAAAGTAACTAGCGCGCAAAGAGACAAACCGCCCCACGAGCGAACGAGCGAACGAACGAGCAACGGGAAGAGGGAAGGAGGGAAGAAGGGAACGGGAGGCGGGGTAGTGGGGGTAGGAGAAAGTGCGAGCATGCCGAGCAGCATCTCGCCATTTCCAACATCACCTATTCACTGGGATAAGCGAACATAGTCGGGATTCTGGGGTGAGGGTCTTATGCACAGATAGGGGCCCATCTCGATGTATATCTCGGAGCCCTCAGAGGTTCCAGAGTATTGTGCAGTCAACTGTTTGTGTAAGGAATCGATACTGGTGACTTGGCACCGTTGATGGATATTACTGGGAGGTGAGTTAGGGGATTACGAATGTAGGATAGGACGGGAATAATTATGGTTGGTGTCTATGCAGACACGATTAAGGATAAGGGGCTGTTCTATATAGGTCTATCTAAAAAAAATACTATAAGAAATATTAAGGAATAATGACAAGGAGGAATGAGAAGAAATTACAGGGCAGGGTCTAACGAGAACTTCAGGGAAGGAGGTGGCGATGAAGGGGGGAATCAAAAAAAATACATGACAAATTGATACCTGAAACTCCTCGTACTTATGAAAGTTATGTACAACGAAACTCAGAGGTCCTGACAATAACGATCGCATGGCCAGTAATTGGGTGAATTAGAATATGGCTGAAAGGAAGGAAGGAGGGAAATGAGGAGAGCCAAGTGAGAAATGAGAAAGGCGAGGAGCAAATAGTGCTT